TCAGTTTACTCAATACGACAAAGAATCTAACTTATATAATACAAAAAGAACATATAGGAGCTAAAAAAAGAGAAAGAGATTTAGATTAAATTCAATCAGAATTAATTAATACACAGCACACTGGAACAAGAAACTCACTATTTTAAATTTACATGGGATGCCATTTTTCAATCTAAATGCCACAATTTCATCTAAAGCTTTTCAAATAAGCAAGCTTGATTTAAAATGATCAGAAAATATGTTGTTGTTTTTTTCCAGAAAATAAATGGCAACTCACATCAACTCGGCAGAATATATTTATAGTAAAACAAGACCTCAATTCAGCTTAAAAGACCAAACTGCGAAACAAGGTTTAATCTCACATAAATGTTTGTCGGTGTTGGCGCAACAGCCCAAACAATGAGCTACAATTTTCTAACAAATTTTATCCCTACAGGTAAATTGATCGGATATTTGAAATGGCATTGAAAGTCCTTCTCTATATAAATATTGGATTATATCTTTATTTTTTCGTTTTCTCCCCAAAAGAGGTCTTGCAAGAAAAGACTGGTATATGCATGTATATTGGTACTGGTAATATAATGATGAATGGCAGAGCAGTAAAGTAGTAAAAAGCTATTCAACCACATAAGTCTCTTCCTGAATGCAATATAAAACATTCGCTTTTAATCATACAATATATAGAAACAATAATCAATGCCATTATAAAGTCAGTACCCAAATCTTAGTTTAAACTTGCAACAATGAAATTTAAAAAACAAACTAACAATTTTCATACTTGAGCTATGTAAGGTAAAACTTATGTCAAAATACAAGAATTTCTGGTTTTATTTTCCTAACAGGATTTTTGTATGAATTGAACCTGTGACCTTGACCTTAGAAAATCAATAGAGGTCATTTACTAGTTATGACCAATCAATATGTGAAATATGAAGACTTCGTGATGAATAGTCTTTAAGATGATCATCGGAAACCATTCGACATTTAAGGCCCCTATGACCTAGACCTTTGACCTAGTGACCCCAAAATCAATAGGGGTCATCTACTAGTTGCGACCAATCATTATGTGAAATATAAAGACTTTGTGGTATAACAGTTTTTAGATAATCAGCAGAAACTATGTAGTCTACCGATTTACAGACCAAACCTTCCGACCGACATTGGCAAAACAATATACCCGTTTTTTGTTCGAAGGGGAGGGGGGCATAAAAATACCACCACTGTAGAGCAACATCCTTTGGGAGACAAAATTTTTGGTTGCTTGGCAGAGGCTTTGCTGAGCCGAGGTTGAATTTAGAGTTTAACTTTGAGAAATAAAAATCATATGGTTGTTTTGAAGAGATGATTGCTCTACAGAGGGCAATCTGCAGAGGGTACACTGTATTTGTACTGTATAACTTTTTTTCTTATCAGGAAAACAATTCAAGATTTTGTTTGTTTAATTTCAAAATCAAGACTTTACTGAATCCCTGCACAAAGCAAAGTGTGTATCTCCTTTCCTATGATATCAACAATCATTATTAATGACAGTAATTTCATTTAGATTTTTTTTCTGTTATTTCTTCAACTTTTAAGATGAGGTCTTAAGTCACAATATTAGGCGATAATTAGCGAAAAGTAAAATGCCATCAAAGTGCGATTAAAAAAAAACAATCCAGAAACATTCATAAGGAAGTAAACAGTTTTTTAAGAGAAAAAAAAAGCTAAGTAAATATAACATATAGGTAGAGTATTAAACATGTATAATTTCCTACAGGAATATGGGCTACCTGTTCACCCCTGGCTACATCAAGACCAGTGTATATCTCATGATGAGTATGGGGGGAGACACGCCCACTGCATCCGTCCCCCAAAACACCTTCACGCTGTAAACATAGCAAATTTCCAGAATACATGCATACCATAATTGTAATAGACTAAGTAAAAACACTTACCTGTTTTTAATGTTTCAACCTACCAGAATGATCACTTCTGTATATAATAACATTTTGAAGAACAAGAGCTGTCAGTCTGTAAGACTTCGCACTCAACTATTATCAGTGCTTGACAAAAAGAAAAGGTGTATAATTTCCAATTGTTCAGCTAGTAATTTTGTTGGGCTTTTTATTGATTTATAGAATTCAAACTGAAAAGGTTACACATTTCATATAATTTTTCTATGATTCATGCTAATTGTCACCTAATTTCAAACCAGTTACTTATAAAATGGTTCAAAGTGTAATTTGTCTTAAGTAATGTCATAGGACCATAACTCAAATCATTAAATGAAGAGTTACAGTTCTTGTGTTTGACACATTTGCATCTTTCATAACTTAAATATCTAATGTGTAATGATCCGATGGTAAGGTAGCAAAGGGGAATAACTCAGAAAAGGCGAAGTGAAGAGTTGCAACTCCTGAGCTCTTAGCTACTTTTCCATGAGTTATAACTTCTCATGGACACAGTAATTGTGAGGGACATACAGACAAAGATGCTGAACAGACAACATCAGACTTACATCAAGGAGTATAAAAAACATACAAGTTTGTCTTTTAGAGCATGTTTTATTAGCAAAATACACAAACGTTGATATGCATTTGCACAAACATTTTTTCTCTTGACATCTCTTGACTTAAAGCTAAACACAAAACATACTGGCCAAAATAACATACTTTCCATGTACAGTCAAACCTGTGTAAAAAAACATCATTAAATAATGAGCATTCTGTAAAAAAGGCCACTCTAATTAAAATTAATATTTCTTAATAAATTGACATCAGTCGTGTATATAAAATATATCAATGCCATGATTATCCAATGAAAGGCGACGTTACAAACGTGCAGTATTATAAATTTGTCTATGTTAAAAGGCCAAATGCGCATATTATTTGGCAATTTATTTCTTACGGTACATTCTAACAAGAAATGGAGGGTGGGATCAGAGGCCATATGGTAACCCTATCAGATAAGAGTGACATATCATCATGTATGATTTATATAAATACATATTTGAATATACATTTATTAATTCTAACTACATAGTTTCAGAACAACCTTTACAAAGGAATGTATGAAAAACCCTTTACAAGATAATTCTGATAGAAAAAAAAAACATGCAAAAATTCATTTGTACAACAAAATGCTAAAATTCACATACTTGAATTACAAAGAAAAAGCTAAAATGCATTTTTGGCACAAAATATGAAAATGGCACAAACTATTTACAATGTATAATTATATCTAAAACACAAAACGAAGAATTAAATGTAAAAATTCACGTTTTTTAATAGGACTCTTAAAACACGTATACATGTACAGTATTTACTAACATTTAAGCAGGATATTTTAAGAATGGTGCCTATACCATGTGATTTGTTTTGTTTGGCTTTTGTTTCGTTTGGCTTTACGGCACACCAACACAATTTACATCATATGACGCTGAAACAGGATTAATAATTAGTAATTTGAACCCATTTAATGGCTTCTTATGGTCACATATAGTTAAACGGTTGCTGCAATTCTGACTTTAAAAAAGTGAAAAGATTTAAGATTCGATTAATAATTTAAATGTTGTGTGTCATTAATGACTGCAGTTTAATCAACATATTTCTACTGTGTAATTATGCTTTTTGCATATTTTAACTTCTTTTTGGTAATTTACGTGGATTGTTAAATGCCGTTTGCAAAGTGTATTTTACTCTCTTCGTTCACTTCATAATATTTTACTTAAAAAAATTCAAAAATGTTCATGAAACTGAGCATGAACCTGGGGGCATGCTGCTTTAACATTACAACTGACTGCAAAAATATGATGACAAGAGAAAAGAAAATCTTTACCAATGGTAAAACATATGAGATTCCTTAAAATGAATAAAATAAATGTTTGCTTAAACATAACACCAATAAGCATAAAAAATCAATAAGCATAAAACCAACTTCAGCATGAAAACCTATTGATTATTAGCATAAAGAAAACCTATAAGCATAAAATCAATATCAGCATGAAAATCTTTTAGCATAAAAAACTATCAGCATGCATAAAACCAATATCAGCATGAGCACATTATCAGTATAAAGAAAAATATCAGCATAAAACCAATATCAGCATAAGAACCTATATATGAGTATAAAGCATAAAAGCAATATCAGTATATAAAACAAATCAGTATAAAAACCTGTAAGCATATAAAAACTATCAGCATAAATACCTATAAACATAATACAATTATGATAGCATATAACCACAGATACATATCATCAAATTTCTCTTGTTCTATGATAATAAATTACAGTACTCTTCTACCTTTTGAATTTAATTTATTAGATTACATCCAAAAGAAAAACGAGGGAGAAAATAATGTATGTCAAACTAGAACTATCACTAATTGTGATTAATACCCCCACAAGACTGCTTCGGAAATGAAGATGCTACTAGTAACAGAATACCTTGTAAAAGAATTGAAATATAGAATTATGGTTGTGGGCAATTAAAGATAGTTGTGGTTCTTATATGTTGCATTTCCTTTCAATGTGGTTGGCCATTGATGAAGTTTAATTGAATTACTCTGTAATAAGTCCACAAAGACAAAGAAAAGGAACAAAGGGCAATGACTCTATAAATACTGAAGATAGAGTTATAGTTCTTGTGCACTGCACTTCCTCTTATTGTGCTTGACCATTGTATGAAGTTGTTGAATTCCAACCAGTACGTTTTAAGTAATGTTCCTGACAAGGAAAAGTATCAAAGGGCAGTAACTCTGTATTTTGTCAAAATGAAGTTATGGCTCTTGTGCACTGCACTTCCTTTTAATGTTCTTGACAACTGTATGAAGTTGTATTGAATTCCAAACAGTAGTTTTCAAGTTATGCTCAGGACAAGGAAAAGTAACAAAGGGCAATAACTCTGTAATTAGTCAAGATGGAGTTATGGTTCTTGTGCACTGCACTTTCTCTCAATGTGCTTGACCATTGTATGAAGTTTTATACTGAATTCCGACCATTAGTCTTCAAGTTATGGTCCGGACAAAAAAAGGCAATGGAAAAGTAACAAAGGGCAATAACTCTGTAATTACTTTAGATAGAGTTATGGTTCTTGTGCACTGCACTTCCCCTAATTCTGTTTGACAATTGTATTAAGTTGTTTTGAATTCCAACCAGTATTTTTCAAGTTATGCCCGGACAAGAAAAGTAACAAAGGGCAATAACTCTGTAATTAGTCAAGATAAAGTTATGGTTCTTATGCACTGCACTTCCTCTCAATGTGCTTGACCATTGTATTTAGTTATATTGAATTCCAACCATTAGTCTTAAGTTATGGTCCGGACAAAAAAATCAATGGAAAAGTAACAAAGGGCAATAACTCTGTAATTACTTTAGATAAGGTTATGGTTCTTGTGCACTGCACTTCCCTTTATTGTGTTTGACAATTTTATGAAGTTGTTTTGAATTCCAACCAGTTGTTTTCAAATTATGCCCCAGACAAGGAAAAGTAACAAAGGGCAATAACTCTGTAATTAGTCAAGATAAAGTTATGGTTCTTATACACTGCACTTCCTCTCAATATGCTTGACCATTGTATGAAGTAATATTGAATTCCAACCATTAGTCTTCAAGTTATGGTCCGGACAAAAACAGCAATGGAAAAGCATTAAAGGGCAATAACTCTGTAATTACTTTAGATAGAATTATGGTTCTTGTGCACTGCACTTCCCCTTATTGTGTTTGACAATTGTATGAAGTTGTTTTGAATTCCAACCAGTAGTTTTCAAGTTATGCCCTTGACAAGGAAAAGTAACAAAGGGCAATAACTCTGTAATTAGTCAAGATAGAGTTATTGTTCTTGTGCACTGCACTTCCTCTCAATGTGCTTGACCTTTGTATGTAGTTATATTGAATTCAAACTATTAGTCTTTAAGTTATGGTCCGGACAAAAAAAAGCAATGGAAAAGCAACAAAGGGCAATAACTCTGTAATTACTTTAGATAGAGTTATGGTTCTTGTGTACTGCACTTCCCCTTATTGTGTTTGCCAATTGTATGAAGTTGTTTTGAATTCCAACCAGTAGTTTTCAAGTTATGCCCCGGACAAGGAAAAGTTACAAAGGGCAATAACTCTGTAATTAGTCAAGATAGAGTTATGGTTCTTGTGCACTGCACTTCCTCTCAATGTGCTTGACCATTGTATGTAGTTATATAGAATTCCAACCATTAGTTTTCAAGTTATGCTCCGGACAAGGAAAATGCAACGGACGTCTGGACCGACCGACCGACCGCCCGACCGACCACCGGTTGACTCCTTTATACCCCCCCCCCCAAACTTCGTTTTTGGGGGTATAAAAAGGAAAACAAGCCTGAGCATGCACATGTATAATAGTTAAACATATATTGTTTATCAATGTACAATAGTCAAATATGTATAGTTAATCAATGTACAATAGCTAAACATGTATAGTTAAACAATGTGATAAAAAAACATAGCAGGTCACATTATTTTGGCAAAATGTAGCCTCCTATGTTATAACATTTTAATTAATTAACAATTTTCCAATACAAAAGTAGAAAAATAAATCATTAAGATAAAATACAAAACAAGAGTTACAGCCCTTGACACAAGCATTTCTCTTTTATGAAAAAAAAATAACATTATTAAAATACAGTATAATATAGGCTAACAACAAAGTGACAAAATTATCTTTTTAATAAAGTAGGAAAACACTTAAATGAAGCTCAGTAGAGCTAAATAATGAACTAAAAGGTTAACATGACATACTGTGCAAGCATATTATTATTTTTAAGACACTAGAAAACAAGAGCTGTCAGTAGGACAGAATATTTAACTGATAGTAATACAAGAGCCTGGATAGTGCATAATTTCAACAAGCAATTATCATAGTATTGCAAGCAATCCATAAGTCCCCTACCGGTTAGAACCCCATCAACATTCTGAAGGGCCATTGGCCATTCACTAATGTTTCAATTTTTCTCTATTTTAAGTAAATTTGTTGGAAAAGTTCTTTAAAAGTGATCACAGGAAACAGTTTTTATGAACAGACAGACATTTGAAACATCCCTGTTACCAAAATGTAACATTTTTAAAAGCAAAATTCTTAAAGAGGAGATAACTCTTGAATTAAAGATGCAATTTCATAAAAAATTTCAGCTCTCTTTGACTAATCACAAATATCTTTATATTTGCCATGTTTTAAGCCTATTTGTTGCCAAGGCAACCAATATTTTTTTCAAAATAGGAAGAACAGATGAGACATGCATAATCTCAAGACTGCCATCTACCCATATGTCAAGTTTCATAAAAATATTTCCAGTACTTTTTGAGTTATCTCTGGATTCAGTTTATGTGTAAAATTTGCCATATTTTCAGTCTATGTGTTGCCATAGCAACCATAATTTTCAACATAGGAAGAAAAGAAAAAGACGTGCATAATCTCCATACTGCCATCTATCCATATATCAAGTTTCATAAAAATATTTTCAGTACTTTTCAAGTTATCGCTGGATCCAGTTTTGTGTACGGACGGACTGACAGACAGACAGACGGACAGACAGACGGACGGAGGGTAAACCTAAAGTCCCCTCCGGTAAACCGGTAGGGGACTAAAAAGAGCCATAATTCTATCTTAATCAACATTAATGTTATGGACTTTGGACATTGACCTGCTATTGTGCTATCAAATGAGTTTATGAAGTTTCATACCATTCGTTTCAGTAGTTTTGGAGATTCCAACATCAATGCAAAAAAACTTAACCAAAGTGTTATGCTGATGCATGCCGGTCGTTCAAAAAAAATCTCCCTATTCTTCAAATAGTCAAGCTAGAAATGCATAGTAAAAATAATAATGCTTTAAGCATACTTTTTATGGCTGGATAAATGGATATATCACAGTTATCTATATAATTAATTCATATAAACAATTCATATAATCATATTAGTCATATTTTACAAAAATATTTTTAGCTATGCAGAAGCAGTATTTGGCTGAAATGGCTTTACTTTTGATTCAATAAACTCAATAATAGTTAATCATGGATACCATCTAAAGAACTATCTCTGACGATAATTCAATATAATTTTCATTTCAATAAACTGTCCCAATCATAATTCATCACAGATTCCCTCTAAAAGAACTGTATGATAATTTTGATTTCTTTTAAGAACTGTTTCCTACGATTAATTAATAGAATTTTCAATCCAATAAACTCTTCAAAATCACAATTCATCATGGTTTTCATCTAATGAACTTTCTAAATCAGTTGTTACGTCAATAATTTCACTTTCAATATCAACATTTGTCACATCTTCTGTCAATTGATCGTCTGTTTTCTTTTTTAACTTTGTTAAAATTTCTAATGAACGATGAGCATGTAACCTAGAAACTTCAACAAAATTTGGATCGTGAGTAAACCACATGGCTATGGCACATCTCTGCCCCTTCACTACAGCTTTTACACCGTGATAATCACCAGCGTTGAAGGCCACAAATCTTCCACATTGAGGTTTCACTGATATCTGAAAATAACAAATAGTTTACATCCCACTCGTCAAATGAAATTGTCGTTTTTTTAATAAAGAACAGTCTACTGTTTTAGGGATTTCATAAGGAACAAGATAATTATTTAATTGGGAAAAGATAAGCAAAATGGGACCAATATATGTAAAATGGGAACAACATATGTAACACAGGAACACCATATGTAAAATTGAAAGAAGGCATGGAACACAGGAACTAAATACATAACATGTAAACAAGATAAATGGGAACCAGATATGTAAAATGGAAACAAACAATGTCCCTTCAATTCAACCAAAATGCTTTTGTTCTTTATTTGCAACAAAGTACAAAGTTAAAGGGGAATTATATCTTAATGCATAAATGATTTAAACAACAAGTATTGCAAATAATCTTAATACAGACTTTGTCGAATTCAGATCACTTCCTCTAGCTGAAAGGTTTTAGTTTTATTTTATGCCATGTTCGAAAATTGGAAATAATCCATTTGAGAACTACGTCCAACAATAGAGCAAAAATGTTACATTAACCTAAATTGTGCAGCAGTAACTGAAAACCTAGCTGCAAATATGTGAGTCATATAAGGAAAATGATTTTCTCCCTAGAATTGTCATCAATTTTTCCTAGAATTCTCATCATTTTTTCCTAGAATTCTCATCATTTTTTCCTAGAATTATCATCATTTTTTCCTAGAATTATCATCATTTTTCATAGAATTATCATCATTTTTTCCTTGAATTATCATTATTTCCCCTTAAAATAATCATCATTTCCCCCTTAAGAATTATCATTATTTTCATCAAGCTACTCTATGGTAAAGCTTACCTGCTCAGATTTGTTTGTGTGAGCAAAGAAGAATTGTCCCCCTTCAAAGTTGTCATTCAGATATAAAACTCCACTGCAATGAAAGAAACATAATGAATGGAAATTATCATTCCAAAATAATTACTGGTAATATACAAGCTTTCAATTTATTTATCCCCCCAGTCTGCTGAGCCTAGCATACTCTACCCCTGGGAGCAGTGAAGACCAAGACCAGCAGCCCTTAACTTGCTGTCTGATCATGGTCAGCCCTATTACTTATTCTGTAATTAGTAAGAAATTTCCTAAAAATTGTGAATGGTTTAAAGATGGACAAGTATCTCATTTTGTTTTAAATAAGCACAGCTCTAGATCCATCCATGCTTATTTTCATTTGTAAAAATGGCTAGTGCATTGTGGTGAAGCTTTACAACTACTTTTATTTAGGAAAATCTCAAATAAATTTAGAATTAAGGAGGATGGTGCATTGTTCTAACTAGAACTCCGCGAGTCGGATGTGTCGCCTTGTGAACAATGTAGTTTAGGAGAAATGGCCAGTACAAAAATGAAATATGAAAAATAACAAAGGGCAATAACTAAAAAAATAATAAATGCAGAGCAGCAGTTTCTGTGCACTGCACTTCTTATCAATAAGATCTATCATTCTATGATGTTTCAAGTCCATAGCTTTCATACTTGAGGAGAAATGACCAGGACAAAAATGAAGTAAGAAAATCAACAAAGGGCAATAACTCAAAAAATAAGAAATGCAGAGTATCAGTTCTTATGCACTGCACTTTTTCTTAATCTATCATCCTATGAAGTTTTAAGTCCATAACTTTTATACTTTCGGAGAAATGGCCTGGACAAAAATTAAGTATGAAAATTAACAAAGGGCCATAACTTAAAAATTAGAAAGTGCAGAGTACCGGTTCTTATGCACTGCACTTCTTCTTAATGAGATCTATCATCCTATGAAGTTTCAAGTCCATAGCTTTTTTAGTTGAAGAGAAATGGCCCGGACAAAATAAAAGTATGAAAATGAACAAAGGGCAATAACTCAAAAAAATAAGAAATGCATAGTACCGGTCCTTGTGCACTGCACTTCGGGTTATTGAAAGAAGCATGCATACCAAGTTTGAAGTCAATCAGACTTATAGTGACTGAGTTATGCTCCGGACAAGCTTTAGGGGATGCCGACAACGACACAGACGCCGCCGACAAAAGTAACCCCTTTATGTCACCTTTTCAAGGCGACACAAAAAGGGGCGCACTTGAAACCTTTGATTATTTAATGGAAAATTTCAGTTGTTAGAATTACCTGTAATGTCTCTGTACATATGCAAAGGCATCAGGAATACAGGAACCATCTGGCTGTATCATACAGTTGTCAGAATGCACTGGGTGACTCAGATCAGCCTCCCTGTCATCAGTGTCACCTACAAGATTGATTTTAAAGAACAACTTTAATAACAGATGAATCTGATAATATGCTGATTGATTTTGTTTTGTTTGTTTGATTTTACGCCTTTTCCCAACAGTATTTCAGTCATATAGGCGGGTAGTTTCCTAACCATCGTTCCTGGAGAGTTACACCAGTACTAGACTACCTTCCTCCGAGCTAAACTACCAAAGCATCACCCGGAGATCGAACCCACACCAGAGAGGTAACTGGATTAGAAGTCATCGACTATAACCCCTCGACCACGGAGGCGGTCTAGAAGATTGATTTTAAAGAACAACATTAATTACAGATGAATCTGATAATATGCTGATAAATTCTGTGAAACTGACTGCATTTACCCAATTGGTTGTAAAATGCAATGCAATATTTAAAGTCCCATTATGCTCAAGAAATGCTTTTATTCCTATTCATCCAAAGTGTTCTGTTACAGTCACAGCCACTTATCAGAATCATACTTTATGTCTGTTGCTTGTACAGTTACTATGATTAAGTATTTTGTATGGAAGTCAAAATACTACTTCTCTACATTTTGCTACTTTTATAACATTCAGCCCTAATTTCTTTAAGTAATAAGCATAACTAACTTGTTCTTTATTCAAATAAGAGTTCTTTCAATTGCTTCTGAGGCATTATGTGCCTTTAATTATAAGTTAAACCAAATCATGAAGTTGAAAAAAAAAGAAACTGTCAATACAGGCAATTTTTTTTTTATATTATGAAAATACTTAAACTGGCCAAAGTCCATTTTACAACGGCCATGCTAAAATTTAATGTTTGGAAAGTGCAACGGTTTGTTTCAAATTTCAGATCATTTTTGGTCCTATTGCATACAAGCAAGAGTGTTTCCTTATTATTTACGTGGCATAAATGCATTTAATGGCAGATATTTTGGACTGAAGCAGTCTCTTTATGACAGCTCTGACAGTTGAATGAATTAAACATCCATAGAGATATTTGAAATTACCGTCAACTGCCGTTCTGCAGACAAGGTGCGTGTAATCAAAGTACAGTGGTCGTGTCAAGTTCAGGTACTTTTCTACAAGAAGTCTCGAATGTTCGCTGGCATCGAGAAATAAATGTAACGTCTCTGGTAACACTGTTCTTTCTTTAACTAACTGAAATATCAGGAATTTAGTCAAACACATGTCCTAATAATTTCTTTATTGTTTAAATATATAGAACTTCGCGCAGTCTGATCAGAATCCATGCTGCTCCCTATCAGTTTCTCTACTTGTTATAGGGTTTGTAAGCGAACAGCATGGATCCTGATCAGACTGCGCAGATGCACAGGCTGGTCTGGATCCATGTTTGTAAGCGAACATTATGTTGGTTTTGTCGTGACGTGGCTCAGTTATATTGAGTCTTATCCTTTTGTGTATTTTTTCTTTTAAAGATTCTGTATGTTGTGATTTGTATAAAGTTAAAATATACAAATGTATAAACACAGTACCGTTTTAATATTAAATAATTAATTCCCTAAAATACCTGCTGCAATACTACAATACAAGATCTACATTCATCTACAAAGACACCAAGATCAACAACATATGCAAGCACTTAGTAAACTTATAAGAACCCTAGGAACAGATAAAAACCTTAAACATACAGAAACAGCCTTAAACATTTTAGGACAATGTATGGAACAAGAACACAGACCTCAAACAGCATTAAGATGCTACCAGCTTTCTCTTCAGCAAAGGGCAAGAAACAATGTGGCAAACTACCATATACATGTATATAAGCTCCTTTCTGGGGTTTTTATTTGCGGGCCAATAAAACACGTGGTCAAAAGCAGACAGTATTAAGACTTGAATTTCTACTGATCAAAATCATAATTCTTGTATGTATCAAACTGATTCAAATGTCAGAATATCTGCTTTCATTATTTTTTGTTACATTACATTTTATTTTCACAAATTATTATTAGATCAAACATGAGGCCCATGGGCCTTAAAGGTCACCCGAGTATTTTGCAGCGGACTATATATCTTTTCGATTTGTGTAAATAACTTAAAAAACATTTATTAACAAGAGCTGTCACCCAAGTGACAAATGCCCACAAAAAGGTTTCTTAAGCAAGCAGGTATTATGAAAAGAAAAGAAATTGAAAGTAACTAATTGCTGAATATTGTTTTTTGTATTATTGTGCCCTAAATCTCTACATGTAATTGCGATAGCTTGAACTTTCAAAATATAAGTATGACCTTTGAAGAAGTGAGGTGGTTCCTGGACGCGACAAAATTTTGTTATGAGATAGACATTTGTGCCACATTATTTCAAAATTCCTCAATGCATGACAAAGTTACAGTCTGGACATGATTATTGTGTAAGAGAGGACACACGGACAGACGGACATGAGCGTTAGTCGCGATACATAGTCTTGATGTGGTAGACATTTCATTTGTGCCTAGTTATGTTAAAATGCTTCTATGCATGACAAAGTTACAGTCCGGACATGAATGTGTATCTTCAAACTCTTCTCAAGAGAATGAGTACCCTCAAACTATATGTGTGACCTTGACCTTGAAGGTAGCGACATGGGTCTTTGTCATGACACATTGTCTTGATGTGGTAGACATTTATGCCTAGTTATTTTAAAATCCTTCGATGCATGACAAAGATACAGCCCTGACATGAATGTGTGTACCTATAAACTCTGTGAAAAAGTGAACTTCAAAATGGAAGTGTGACCTTGACCTTTAAAATAGGGACGTGATGAATGAATGCGACACATCATCTTGATGTTGTAGACATTTATGCCAAGTTATTTTAAATACCTTCCATGCATGACAAAGTTAGAGCCCAAACATGATTGTGTGTATCTATTAATTCTAATTGTGATAATGTGAAACTTCAAAAAGTTAGTGTGACCTTAGCCTTTGAGGTAGAGACATAATTCTTGGACACAACACATTGTCTTAATGTTGTAGACATTTATGCCTAGATATTTTAAAATCATTCTGTGCATGACAAAGTTACAGTCAAAACACGAATGTGTGTACCTATTTCCTCTAATCACATCATAATGTGAAACTTCAAAATGATAGTGTGACCTTAACCTTTGAGTTAGAGATATAATTCTTGGTCACGACACATTGTCTTGATGTGGTCGACATTTATGCCTAGTTATTTTAAAATCATTCTATGCATGACAAAGTTACAGTCAAAACACGAATGTGTGTACCTATTTCCTCTAATCGCATCATAATGTGAAACTTCAAAATGATAGTGTGACCTTGACCTTTGAGGTAGGGATGTAATTCTTGAACATCACACATTGTCTTTTGTCTTAATGTGGTAGACATTTATGACTGGTTATTCAAAAATCATTCAATGCATGACAAAGTTACAGTCCGGAACAAATGTGTATACCTATTTACTCTAATTGCAAGTATGCGAAACTTCAAAATAATAGTGTGACCTTGAATTTTTCGGAAATTTAAGTTGTCTTAAGCAAAATTTGAACTCAAAAATGTAATTCATGAAGTATCAACTGTGTACAATAATTCTAAACAAATGTTTAGATACAATACAGATAATATAATGATCATCATATTCTTTCAATATATATGCGGGTCAAAGCTAGAAGAACGTCTCTAACAAAGGACCATTGCTCATCAAAATTAATATTTGGCTTTGGTGCACAAGATGGATGGATTGATCAGGATCCAACCGCCTGTTTAGCACTTTTGGAATTAGTACAGACAACAGACGTATCCCCAGTCTTAAAGTGACATAAGGCTCATTCCCTCAATGTCAAGTTGAGTTTAATTAGTAATATATTTACGAGGAGAATTACTATAATTATGAATACTGGCGAATAAATGATAATGAAAAATGTTTATAATACCATATAACAAGAGCCACCATTGGGCCGCGACAATTCTTACCTTTTTTTTCTAAAACAAAAATTGGTTTAATCAAATCTGAAGAAAGAAAATCCGCTGTGGCACAAAAGTGAAGGATACCCTCAAAACGGTATTGTAAGTATTGCAGAAAGGTATTGTGAAATGAAATTAGAAAAAAAGTAAATAATTGCATAATTTTTTTCTCTCTAACCACTTACCAGCTGGACCTTGGAAGTAGGAACATGGGCCTATATAAAGGCTGCAACTGTTATCGACTTATAAAATGGTCCTGTTTAAATATTTTACATATCTAAATTACAATTAACTAAAATTTTGATCCTCTCTTCCTTACCACTTGAACATTAACACATTAACAAATAATTTCTGTGGGCCATGCTAGTAACTGATTTTTTTGGGGGAAAACGAAAATATAAAATTGAACCAATAATAAAATAATATAAACTTATTTTGACTTAACTCTTGGAGTTGGATGGGAAAAATGTCATTAAAGAAAATGTTGATAATGTTAACAGTTTAATGAAACATGCTTTATTAGACAGACATCAGACTATCCAAAATGCTGAGCTTTACAACAACATAAACCAGTGTTAAAATACATGTATATCTGTTAGTGTTCACATATAAAAGTACTTGAATTTATCTGTTAGTCACAAACTTGCATACCATACATTTGTTATCAGTGATGTTACTTAAATCTAACAAGTAATTATCATAGTATTGCAAGCAATTCATAAGTCCCCTACCTGTTAGAACCCCATCAACATTCTAAAGGGCCATTGGCCATTCACTAATGTTTCAATTTTTCTATATTTTAAGTAAATTTGTTGGAAAAGTTCTTTAAAAGTGATCACAGGAAACAGTTTTTATGAACAGACAGACAGACAGACTGAAGGACACTCTAAAGTTAATATTTGAAACATCCCTGTTACCAAAATATAACATTTTTAAAAGCAAAATTCTTAAAGAGGAGATAACTCTTGAATTAAAGATGCAATTTCATAAAAAAATTTCAGCTCTTTTTGACTAATCACAAATAAAGTTATATTTGCCATGTTTTAAGCCTATTTGTTGCCAAGGCAACCAATATTTTTTCAAAATAGGGAGAACAGATAAGACATGCATAATCTCAAGACTGCCATCTACCCATATGTCAAGTTTCATAAAAATTTTTCCAGTACTTTTTGAGTTATCACTGGATTCAGTGTATGTGTAAAATTTGCCATATTTTCAGTCTATGTGTTGCCATAGCAACCAGAATTTTCAAGATAGGAAGAAAAGAAAAAGACGTGCATAATCCCCAGACTGCCATCTACCCATATTACAAGTTTCATAAAAATATTTCTATTACTTTTTGCGTTAACACAGGATCCAGTTTATGTATAAAATTTGCCATATTTTCAGTCTATTTGTTGCCATAGCAACCAGAATTTCAACATAGGAAGAAAAAAAAGATGTGCATAATCTCCATACTGCCATCTACCCATATTTCAAGTTTCATAAAAATATTTCCAGTACTTTTTGAGTTATCACTGGATTCAGTGTATGTGTAAAATTTGCCATATTTTCAGTCTATGTGTTGCCATAGCAACCAGAATTTTCAACATAGGAAGAAAAGAAAAAGACGTGCATAATCTCCATACTGCCATCTATCCATATATCAAGTTTCATAAAAATATTTCCAGTACTTTTTGCGTTATCACTGGATCCAGTTTATGTATAAAATTTGCCATATTTTCAGTCTATTTGTTGCCATAGCAACCAGAATTTCAACATAGGAAGAAAAAAAAAAGATGTGCATAATCTCCATACTGCCATCTACCCATATTTCAAGTTTCATAAAAATATTTCCAGTACTTTTTGCGTTATCACTGGATCCAGTTTATGTGTAAAATTTGCCATATTTTAAGCCTATTTGTTGCCATAGCAACCAGAATTTTCAACATAGGAAGAAAAGAAAAAGACGTGCATAATCTCCATACTGCCATCTATCCATATATCAAGTTTCATAAAAATATTTTCAGTACTTTTCAAGTTATCGCGGGATCCAGTTTTGTGGACTAAAATTTGCCATATTTTCAGTCTATTTGTTGCCATAGCAACCAGAATTTTCAACATAGGAAGAAAAAAAAAGACGTGCATAATCTCCAGACTGCCATCTACCCATATTTCAAGTTTCATAAAAATATTTCCAGTACTTTTTGCGTTATCACTGGATCCAGTTTATGTGTAAAATTTGCCATATTTTTAGCCTATTTGTTGCCATAGCAACCAGAATTTTCAACATAGGAAGAAAAGAAAAAGACGTGCATAATCTCCATACTGCCATCTATCCATATATCAAGTTTCATAAAAATATTTTCAGTACTTTTCAAGTTATCGCGGGATCCAGTTTTGTGGACGGACGGACTGACGGACTGACAGACAGACAGACTGACAGACGGACAGACAGACAGACGGACGGAGGGTAAACCTAAAGTCCCCTCCGGTAAACCGGTAGGGAACTAAAAAGGAAATTTTAAGACAAAGTATAAATATAATAATAATTATTATTCCAGTTCAAAAGGTGACAGGTTACATAATCATATATTCACATATTCAAAATTAAGCATGCATAAAAAAGCAATATGAAATAAGAGTAAATGATAAAGTAAGTATTAAAACACTTAGTCAAATTTCTTTTAAAAAAAAATCAATATTAAGCAAAACATTAATAAATAAGAAGCAAAAAAGTGAAAACAAAAAAAATCAAAATGAATACAAGCAGATGTGAAAAAGTAGAGTGACAGTATAATATTTTATGTTGTTTGTTTATTTTCCCTGGTTTTATGTCGATTTTAACAGTCATTTTAGTCATTTCTCAGGAATCGATCCTCAATACAGGCTTTCCTGGATAACTTACCAATTTTCCCCTAGTGAACGACTACTAATCCACCATTATTTCTGAATCACGGTGAGAGAAGAATGTTAAAGATCAATTGAAAAATTTTGCCACACCCGAGGATTAAACCAGTTATCCCTTTTGTACAAATCTGATGCTCTCTCTTCTGCTAAACAAGCAGAATATTATTTTTGAAATACAATCATGTATATTATACTCGAGCAGGTTTTAAGCATGCTCAAGAATGTAAGCATGCCTGACAGACAATGTGTTACTATTTATAGCTATTTACACAATATGTTACTATTTTAAGCTATTCAGACAATATGTTACTATTTATAGCAGTGTAGTTACCAGAAATATGCAATATGCTGTGTGAGGACTTAAATAGGTGGTTTTATTTATTTTTTTGCATTCACAAGCAAAGAAGGTGGGTGGGGTAATATAGATCAGTACAAACCTGAAGACTTTTACTTATATTGAGCCCTTCAAAGCTTTCTGATTGGGTATAAGGGGAGACAAATTTACTGGTGGACCGGTTGTCATGGTAGCCGTCTCCCTTGGTTACACCTTTCTGCATAAGCGATAAGGAAGTAAAGAAATGTAGGTAAAGAAATGAGAGCCCATGATAACTAAATTATCTACAAAGAATATCTACAAAGTAGTTTAATCGATACAACAAAGTATCTAACTTCTATGATAAAAAAATGAACATCTAGGAGCTACAAAAAGAGAAAAAGAATTAGATTGAATTCATTAATACATATTAAATAATACACTGCAGACTGGAACAACAAACTCACAATTCTAAATTTACATGGGGCGCCACTTTTCATTCTTAATGCCAAAATTTCATCTAAAGCTTTTCATATAAGCAAGCTTGATTCAAAATGACAAGAATATGTTTTTGTTTTTTTTTCCATATAAAATAAATGGCAACTCACATCAACTCAGCAGAGTAAATTAATAGTAAAACAAGACCTCAATTCAGCTTTAAAAGACCAAAATGCCAAAGAAAACTTTAATCTTATAATCTAAATTTTCTTCTTTTTTTTGCCCAAAAAAAGGTGTTGCTAGAAAAGACTGGTAAATATATAATATTATGATGAAAGGCAGAGCGGTAAAGCAGTAAAAAGCTATTCAACCATATATTAGTCTCATCCTGAGTGCGATACAAAACAGTCGCTCAAGAGATAGAAACAACACTCAAAGCCATCATAAAGTCAGTACCAAAACCTTAGTGTTACTTGCAACCATGAAATTTAAAAACAAACTAACAATTTTCATACTTGAGTTTGGTAAAGAAAATTCTAAAATTTTAATGTAATGTCAAAATACACAAATTTCGTTTTTTTATTTTCCTAGCAGGATTTTTTGTATGATTCGAGACCCAAAATTTTTACTACTGTAATAGATCCAGATTTTCATATTAATATTATAAAATTGTAAATCATCTGATATGCTGTACTGAACACTGTCCTGTATACTACATATGTAATTCAAACAAGATTTATAAAACATTGCAAAAAAAATACATATTTTATAATGACCTTGACACCACTCCATAGAATACCATGACAAAACAGCCTATATTCAGTAAAAACATTCCATAAAACCATATTTCTGGATATAACCTTTTAAAGAAGACGTTTTTCAAAAAAAAAAAGAAAAAGGAAAATAATTCACTACACTAGAGATTTTTTTGTTTGATTTCAAAATCACATGGCACTGCATGGAATGTTTTAACTGAATCCCTGCACAAAGCAAAGTGTGTACCTCCTTTAAATGTTTCTAGTCCAAAGATAACAGAGATCATTATTATTGACAGTAATTTCATTCAGTTTTCTGTTCTTTCAATATTAGGCCTAGTTTTAAGCAAAACAATAAAATGCCATCAAAGTGCAAGAAAAGCAAACAAACCAGAAACATTTTTAAGGAAGTACACAGTTTTTAAGAGAAAAATACCAAGTAAATATAACAGCAAGGTTGAGTATTAATCAGGTATAATTTCCTAGAGGAATATGGGCTACCTGTTCACCCCTGGCTACATCAAGACCAGTGTAAATCTCATGATGAGTATGGGGGGAGACACGTCCACTGTAACCGTCCCCCGAAACACCTTCACGCTGTAAACATAGCAAAATTCAAGAATACATGCATACCATAATAGTAATGCCTAGGTCACAAATAAAACAGCCGCCGCCCGATTTTACATTTTTGAAAACATCGGCGGCTTTGACAATTACGCAATACCTTGCGTGGTCATGAATTAAACTGCACCAGCAATTTATGCAAAATTTATGTTAACAGACAGCATTCAAAGACTGTGCGGTCGCCATCTGATATCCGGACAGCATCTGTGCGATTAATAAATGGATCGGACGGTCGCCGCATTGGTGCCGTGCGGTAAAGGCTCGGTATTTTATGAAATCTTTTAAAAATCAGTCAATGGTCAATATGCCAGCAAAGAAGGCAGTTGATAGAGATAGAAGGCAGCTGATAGAGACAAGATGAAGACCAAGCAAATAATGCAACAATGTAGTTTCCCTTTTCCTTAATACATATCCACGTAGACATTCTTGCTCAGCCATTAAGTTCATGTTAAATCATAAAGTATTCAAAGATACATTTTAAGATAACTACAAAATCTCAAGCCACAATTACAACAAACTCAAGCCCCAAGATTGCCGTACGACAAAACGATGACTGCCCGGTGCCTGTGCATGAATCGTCTGGGTACTGGGCGATACTTGTTCACCAACTGGTTTCTATTCGGGTGCTGGCCTGGCCCAGGCTATGTCCACCTTTAAAATCAGAGTGTGTTTTTGTATCAAAGACAATGTCCGATCCAAAAAACATTGCCAGGGACCGGTCGATCCCCGCCAGATGACTTCTTCAACTCAATGACCCCCAAAATTATCTTCCGGATGCCATTAGCTTTTAAGTAGTACTTAAAACTCGACAGGGACCGCCCAATGAGCGAAACCTTCAGCTGCTGCCATCCAATTGTCACGGTGGCCGGTATTACGGTTTTTTGGAGAAATAGACATCGCCAGTTGGCTGTTTGTCACTTGTGACTTAGGCATAGTAGACAAAGTAAATAAATATCTGTTTCTAATGTTTCAACCTACCAGAATGATCACTGCCGTATATAAAAACATTTTGATTTTCATATATGATTAACAAGAGCTTTCAGTCTGTAAGACTTCGCACTCTACTATTATCAGTGCTTGACAAAAAGGTAAGGGGTATAATTTCCAAATATTCAGCTAATAAATTTGTTTTTTTTATGGATTTATAGAATTAAAACTGAAAAGGTTACATATTTGATATGATTTTTCTGTACACAGAAAAAACAACAACATTTTTTCCAAACCAATTTTATAAATTTGAATGACAATTATTTAAGTTTGACATTAAATTTTTCACACCTTGAATTTATAAAGCCACATATCTACTGCAAAAATTATTGTTCAGGTTTTTAAAAAGAATGCTTCCAAAATAGTTGTATACAATAAGTGTGGTAGTAAATTGCCTGAAAAGCGGATGGCGCATTGCAAACAATCATTGCTTTTTGTTGTTTATTCCCCCTCACAATTATGTGATCAAGTGTGGGTCTGAGAAAACTTTAATTTTCCAAGTCATGAAATCAGTTCAATTGGAGTAAGTATTTGCACAATTAGCCAAATTATGTAATTCCCTTGTAAAAATGCAAATTTAATGGCACTTACAACACTTTATAGAAACTCAGAAAAAAATTGCCAATATCCAGTAAAAATATTCTATATGACAATTTTGTACAATTTCATTTCTCCTGACCCATTTGAAGAAGGTAAAACAACCCTAGTAAAATACTCTTCATAACAACAACGACAAGAACAACAACTTACTCTAGCAAGCTGTATCAGAGTTTGGCATTCTTCCTCGGTAACTAGCCCATCGGCAACAAATCTTTCCTTTCCCAACAGATCTTCGCCTCTCTGTGTAATCTTTACTCCTGCGTTCATAAATAATCAATGAACTTGGAGAAATCCAAATTTGTCAAAGAAATCAGCATTTTCATTCAAAAACCATATAAACATAAGACACCAATGGGAAAATATTCAGAATAAATAAGTGTTAAGCTCGCAGTTTAAAAAATCTTTAGTCAAGACTGTTTTTTTATTTCATATTGGAACACCTTGATTTATTACTGAATATAATGTTAATGTTAGTAAAAGATAAGTATCTATATGTAATGAATAGTTTATGTAAATTTTCCAATATTCACAGTAAATACATTTACATTACTTGCGTAATCATTGGTCTAGTTTTTGTATTATTACTCATGAAGAAAATTAAAAGCCTGAAGGGCCATAATGGCTAATGGCAGAGCTCCGATAATTTTTCAAGCAAGTAATCTTTAACTTCTTGATTTTTTTTTTCGCTACCAGATTTCAAGTTCAATTAGTTTTTTTTTAAAAACTTTTATTAAGTTTTTAGTTTTTATTTCAAGGGTGGGAGGGGGGAGGCGGGTATGGGGGCACTTCGGGGTTATATTTAATGTTTTTTTTATTAAAATATCAGATGAGCAACTACACCGTCTAGCAGTGTTGTAGTACGTTATCACTCAAAATTAATTAAAATATATTTATTTCAAAACACAAACAGTAAACTTTACAACATTTAAAGAGAACTATTTTGTTTCGCTCATGTTTAAAAATAGCGGACACGTTGCCATCAACTAGATGGCCATAAGCCTTAAAAAATTTGAATATTAATTTACCTTGATCACTGAATTCCTTGAGTATATCTGAATTGTCAGCATCAATGAACTCTGCTACACGTCTTTCCTCTAGATCTAACAACGTCTCTTTCGCCTTTTCAACATCTTAAAACAAAAACAATTTGCTCAAGTAAAGGAGCTTCACTGAGGTCAAAAAGCCTTTAAACATACAATTTGAAATTCTGACATACATCAAGTGAAGCGTTTAATATGGAAAAATATGCATAGGATAATAAAGAAATATGCTGAAAATATTTTTTTTTGTGCGATTCTTAGTACAATTTGAGTGAAAAGCATTGCAACGCTTTTCATTTTAGGTCATTTTGCACTCCATAAAATATTTTTTCTGGGAAAACAGGGTGAGGAAATGTTCAGACCTACATCGGATAGTACACAAAGCTCTTAAAAATATTTATAGTCGATTTCTTTCAAAAAAAACCCTCAGTGGTCTCCCTTTAAATCTCTGCCATTATACCAAAAGCTGCACTACAGTAGCAGTTCGGACCCATTAAATATTACACATTTTGACCTATTTTTAGACCTGTCTCAAAATGTACTTATTTTTCCACATGGCAAGCCATCTGACCTATTTCTGGTGCTCCAATAAGCCAATATAGGGTTAACGCACGTTTTTCCGTGTTATAACGTCTGCAGAGTCCAGAGGAACGGTTGGTGCCCGAGCCCGGTAGGGCGAGGGCTCCAACAGTTCCGAGGGACTCTGCAGACTTTATAACACGAAAATAAATGTGCGTTGACCTTTATTATAGCATAAAAATTTTCAAACAAATTTTTCGAGATGTATGTTTTAACAAAACACAATTACATTTAAATTCCTGTGCTTGGACGGTATTTATCCAATTCTATGTTTTACGTATGCGTTTCATTTTTCCGGGGCCAACAACTTTGGGAATTCTCGAACCCCGAACGAAATTTTGAATTTTTTAATATTGATTGATTTAACAAAGGCTTGCCTTTATAAAGATTTTATTATCTCTAAACAAAACCTTACCTTACGCTTCTACCCCTACTGTACCCAAGAACAAAAACATCGACCCTCAGAAATTCTTAGAATGATTTCAGATTGACGTAGGAAAAAAGATAATTACATCAGAATCGGTTTTTTTTTCTTCAAGCAAACAAGGTTTACAAAAAAAATCAGGCAACTAAGCATTATTCTCTCAAAACATATATAGACAATTTATCAAATAAACCTAAAATAAAAAACATTTTCTCATATTAATTTTGGTTATCTAGTTTTGTAAGTTAAATCGGGAGTGTAAACTGAATGACAGTTAAGATTCTAGTGGATTTGTTTACATTGAACAAACTGTCCGTTCTTAAAGAAAGGCACAACCAAATTAGCCCGGTGTCTATTACCGCCTTTTTTCCGGGCATGTTCTTAATATCCGACTGAGCCCTCGAATCAATAAATTTCCCAATAAACAAAGAGCGCCACGACTCCTTTGGCAAAAGGGCCAATCATACATTTTGTTTTGTTTGTTTTACTGGGCCCCTGTATGTATTGCCGCCATAGGTGAAAACATGGGCTATAAAAAAAGAGGCGTGACTATGTTTAACGCATGGTTTTGGTTTCCCTTTATAAACATGAACAAAAAAGAAAAATAGCCGATTTTAGCTATTAAATAAATAAAATGTCAAATTCAAGCAAAATTGACGATCCACCCTTTCACAATGACATATTGCAACTAAAAATTGCAAAATTATCATTGTTAAAAATAAAAAAAGCATCGGTTTGCTTTCAATCTGAACACCAAAAAGTGCCCCAAATGGGTAACCTCTTAAAAGTTTCTTTTTGTTTTGTTTCTTTGTTTCATTTTTATGCCTTTTCCCCCAAACAGTATTTCTGTCAATTCCTAGGGGTAGTCTTTCCAACCTTCATTCCTGGAGGGTTTAACCCAGACTAGACTACCTTCCTTTTCTAAACTGATGGGTCTATCCAGTAGAGATCAACAAGTATTACCAAGGTATGGGGAGACTTAGGTTAGAAGGGACTTTTTACTTGTTAGTTCTATGTTTAAAAAGTTTTGTGAAAATATAATACATGTACAATAATACTTATACCTAAAACAATATCCTCTTGTGTCAATCAACCTGAGAGTAAAAAACCATTCTCCCTTCTGAATTCTATTTTTATCAATATTGGGGGGGGGGGGGGAAATCAACTTTTGTGGGTTTTCAGAGTTTTTTCCCCATAAGATTGCTTGGGCAAATTATTCTACCTGAATTTTTCAATGATTCATCTTTGGTAAGGGAGAGAACTATGGCACACCTCTCGTGTTTCCAGGGGACGTTTACTCTGTGCATATCAGCGGCTGAGAAGCCTACCATAAGTCCACAAAGAGGTTGAATACTGGCCTGAAATATAGCAGCTGCTTATAACTTAGATTGATCAACAAAAACAAGTTCAAACAGGGGAGATAATACCAACATTCTTCATATTCGAGTTAAAACAAGATGCAAATTTAGAGCAAACAAATTCTTTAAGTCATTTTTGTGTCAGAATTTCATATAATTACACTTTCAAAAGTGATTGTTGTCAGTGAATTATACAATTTTACATAAAGACAACAAATGAAACAACTATGCTCCTTTGAAAAAATTGTCTTCCATTTTATAATATCCGTCCATTACCCTACAAGATAACATAGTAACCAACCTGAACTTCACCGTTCTCATCGGTAAAATAAAACTGTCCAGTACTATCCACCATGTCTGTTAGATATGCAACAATTCTGAAAATATTACCAAAACAGTGTCCTATACTTTATTTCCTTTTTTTTCTTATTGTATATTTAACAAAACTATGTTACACAAAACTATAAATAATATTTCAATTATAGGTTAAACAAAACTCTAAATGATACTTTAACATTTTTTTTAATAATTTTCAATAATATGTTGCTTTTTTTGTTTTTTTTTCAAAATTCCATTTTATTTAGTTCCATCCATTGTTTTACTGTCCATGAACAGGCTCAATCAAACTGAGCCGTCAACATTGTCAATTTTTGTTGTTTTGTGCATTCTTAAGGGCTTCTTTATTTCTATTTTTGTCTATTTTATTGTACATATTATTTGTATATCTGTTCTAGCTTCATAGATCAACTTACATATAATCATCAGCATTATTAACCTGTGACATTTTACAGTCTCCATTTTCTTGTAGTACACAGTCGCTTGGTAAGGAATAGTCTGAAGCAAAAGTTTAAACACAAGCTCACTTAAAAGTTTACAAAATATATGTACATATAAATATATATCAAATTAACAAAAATGAACAATTCATATAAAATGTTATTAATAGATATTTATTTCAATACAAAAAATAAGGTAATAATTGAAAATTGTCAACTATCAAGGTCTAGGTCAAATTTGGTAAAACTACGAAAAATGACACATCTGTTGATATACCTAAAATTTAAGGCCAATTTATGAAGTATTCCTATCAATGGCTGAAATATAGAACTTAAAATGTCACACAAAATGCCCAGGTATAACCAGGATTTTGCAAGAACAAAATGCATATCAAATAAAAAAAAAATCGACATGAAAGCAGAACAATAAGAAAGACTAAGTTCATACCTGTGTTTAGATCACTAATGGAAATTGCAAAATGACAAATTTTAGCAGCTTTATACTTTGAAATTCCACTTAACACTTCAATATCAAACCTTCTAACAGCACCACTGAATACATCTCCGGGGTCCGTATTTTTAGCAACTAAAAATGGCAGATGGACCCTCATTTAACTCATTCAACCCTGTACACTGTCTACCACTTAAACCCTACTGATAACTGATAAGCCAACTCCTAGTTACCTTATTGATTTTATCTAAACTGTCTCCCTGAGGGATATTGCTGTTTTATTGACAGGTCATAAATAATAGGGGGTGCATTATGTAATTTGCCTCTGGCAATCTCATTTTTAATCCAATCAAGCTGAAATGACACATAAATGTTGGCAATAAAATTACCTAATCAGTGGTGTAACTTCCATCACTATGGCAACATGTTGGACTGATTTATTATCAATAAAATAAAGAAGATTTTCAACATGAAATCAGTTTATTTGTTATAAAAGAACTTTATTTATTGTATAAATTTCTATTAAAACATTCTTCTCCATAATATAATAATTTAAAAAATGTATTGAGAAATTTACTGCTAATTTACAAATTAGAAATGAATACTTTGGAAGCATTATGCAAATAAATAAGTATAGTAATGACTAATGAGCAAATATAAGTATTATGTTATGAAGCTCATAAAAACAGACAAGAAATGTAACATTTATGGTGCAGATGTGTATATACATCAGAAATTCATATTCATTAAAAAAACTTTTATTTTCCTGTTGTTTTTTTAAAGAAAATTAGAAAATTTAAAAAAAAACAATAAATAATTTATCTTTACTACTGTGTCTAAAAGTAAGAAAATATTAGCCGGAAAAAATAATCGATGAAATATGAATGAAAATTGTTATATGTGTGGATTAATTTTAGATAATTTCAAAATTATATATAATAATTATAAAAATTATATATAATAATTATATAAAAATAATTACAAAATAAATACAAAAACTGTAAGGTATTAACATTTTTGTATTTCTTACATTAGAACAGTTACTCTTATTTTCTAGAGCTTTCAATTATGTTACTTTTCTGGATAAAAAGGAATGAAAAAAAGGTCATCAACTAAATATTTTTGTAAACAAAATCAAAATTACTGTCTACAAAGTAGCTCAATCAGAAACACAGAAAAGAACAGTTCAAAGAAATCAAATTCATTTGAGTCCGATAATCAAGATCTGGATTTGGGCCTGTGAATGGTCTCTTAGGCAATTCTGACCGATCGTTTGTCTTCCACTGAAAATATTCCACATTTTCGTCCGCACTTTCAATTTCACTTTGACTGTCACTCGATCTATCCAATTGATTCTATTTCACTTTCACTATCGAGACTAATGTCACAATCCGAATTTGCGCTATTTTCCGTGTCGGTATCAAACATAATGTCAAATAAATTCTTCCGATTTTCCATTTTTTTAACGCAGTATAACTTTTTTTCAGATAGAGATATTTCGATAAAATTTTCACTTTCGTATAGGTAATCCTTTATACTATACATATAACGCGTTTCGTGATTGGTCAAAATACCTCAAATCTAAATATAACCCGTCGAAACAACCAATGAAATGCGCCGACATAATTCGTCACGCGGTATACAGTAGTAGTTCAATACGCGACGACTACTCTCGTCATGCGGGATAGCCGATAAATTTTATACGACGACTATACTCGGCGCGCGGTACACGATAACAGATAAAGACGACGACTATACTCGGCGTACGGGTCGAATGAGTTAACCTGAATGAATCGACTGATCCAGTCACTTTATAAAAACATACCTAAATCTGCACCAGCTGACCTACAGTTGAGTTTGACATCATGTAACAGCAGTTCTGATTGGCTGAAATATGTTGATGTATATATCTTCATCACCTCAGCCGCTCTGAGCAATAAACGCAATGAAATTTCATAGCCTTTATCTACCTTGATGAGCTGTAAACAAACGGCAACAAAAAACTAGTTTGAAAAATACCCGTTTGCTATGTTTTTCTAGATATCAACGCTGATTCTTAACACATGTTTTTGGTCATATCATGCCAGTCAATCCAGCTGACCGGCTTTGTTTTTCTAGATATTAACGCTGATTCTTAACACATGTTTTTGGCTTTAACTTGTCAGTCGATCCACATAATCGACTTTCCTTGATAACACAACAGTAATTACCAAATTCTTTGAAAGTTACAGACTACTTATACTACGTGAATTTTGAATTTTTTTGAAGTGAGAAACAAATGACTATAAGATTCAATGTCCCAGATCAACTGTCATGAAAAAATTACACCTCGACCAAGGATTGAATCAACAACCCATGGAATACTGACCCTACACTCTCCCTATTGGGCTATGTGGGACGACTATATCTAACAAAAGAAAAAATTGCTATATATGCAAATATGCTCATTTCAATACCATTGCCATTATATGGGCATGTCTTTAAAAAAAGTCTTTAAGATATAATTTTTTAGAGGAAAAAAGTCTAGGTGTAAAGTCTCCTTTCCTCAGACTGTAATAAAGAGATAAAATTGCTCAATATGTAAATATGTTCATTTTGATGTAAAATTACTTCAGTTACTTCATTTTGATACAAAATTACCTCAGTTACTTCATTTTAAATGTACAAAATTACTTCAGTTTACCTCATTTTAAATGTACAAAATTACCTCAATTACTTCATTTTAAATGTACAAAATTACCTCAGTTACTTCATTTTAAATGTACAAAATTGCCTCAGTTACTTCATTTTAAATGTACAAAATTGCCTCAGTTACTTCATTTAAAATGTACAAAATTACCTCAGCTACTTCATTTTAAATGTACAAAATTACCTCAGTTACTTCATTTTAAATGTACAAAATTACCTCAGCTACTTCATTTTAAATGTACAAAATTGCCTCAGTTACTTCATTTTAAATGTACAAAATTGCCTCAGTTACTTCATTTAAAATGTACAAAATTACCTCAGCTACTTCATTTTAAATGTACAAAATTACCTCAGTTACTTCATTTTAAATGTACAAAAATTGCCTCAGTTACTTTCATTTTAAATGTACAAAATTACCTCAGCTACTTCATTTTAAATGTACAAAATTGCCTCAGTTACTTCATTTTAAATGTACAAAATTGCCTCAGTTACTTCATTTTAAATGTACAAAATTACCTCAATTACTTCATTTAAAATGTACAAAATTACCTCAATTACTTCATTTTAAATGTACAAAATTGCCTCAGTTACTTCATTTTAAATGTACAAAATTGCCTCAGTTACTTCATTTTAAATGTACAAAATTACTTCAGTTTACCTCATTTTAAATGTACAAAATTACCTCAATTACTTCATTTTAAATGTACAAAATTACCTCAGTTACTTCATTTTAAATGTACAAAATTGCCTCAGTTACTTCATTTTAAATGTACAAAATTGCCTCAGTTACTTCATTTTAAATGTACAAAATTACCTCAGTTACTTCATTTTAAATGTACAAAATTACCTCAGTTACTTCATTTTAAATGTACAAAATTACCTCAGTTACTTCATTTTAAATGTACAAAATTACCTCAGTTACTTCATTTTAAATGTACAAAATTACCTCAGTTACTTCATTTAAAATGTACAAAATTACCTCAGTTACTTCATTTTAAATGTACAAAATTACCTCAGTTACTTCATTTTAAATGTACAAAATTGCCTCAGTTACTTCATTTTAAATGTACAAAATTACCTCAGCTACTTCATTTTAAATGTACAAAATTGCCTCAGTTACTTCATTTTAAATGTACAAAATTGCCTCAGTTACTTCATTTTAAATGTACAAAATTACCTCAGCTACTTCATTTTAAATGTAAAAAATTACCTCAGTTACTTCATTTTAAATGTACAAAATTACCTCAATTACTTCATTTAAAATGTACAAAATTACCTCAATTACTTCATTTAAAATGTACAAAATTACCTCAATTACTTCCGAGACAGTCACCTCTCTGTATCCAAACTTGTCAAATTCTTTTCTCTAAAATTAGCAAATCAGAATTTCAAAATATATTTGTATCAAAGACCATGCTTCTTCCTGTAAAATTCTATATATTCAGAGAATTCCACAACATAAAAATATCTGATATTATTATTGCAATACCATGATTTTAAAACTTCCAACAAAAGAGAAAAACAAGAGCCACCACCGGGCAACGCTTGACTCTTTTACTTTTTCTAAAAGCAAAAAATATATGGTTTAAACAAATCTTTAAAAAGAAAATTAAATAAGTTTTTCCTTTTTTAAATTTTAATAGGTCTGTAAAGTCACACTTATTGTTTTGTCCAAGTATGAATCCTTGCCATGAATAAATGACAAAGTTAAGAAAATATAATCAAAATTCAATCATTTGTCAATCAAGGTCATTTAAAGGTCAAGGTCATATCAAAATTATTTTACATGTCTGTTTGGTCACAAGTGTTGATTTGCCAAAATATAAATCAAATTCATACATCAATAACAAAATTGTGACAACTTAAACAAAATTCAATAATTTGACCTTTACCATCAAGGTCATTTAAAGCTCAAGGTCACTCAATATTTTAGGATTTCTTGTCCAAAAGGTTGTTTTGTCAAAGTATGAAAATAATCCATTGATTATTTACCAAGCAACAGCCAATTAAAGCGATAAAATCAGTAAAAATTATAAAATTTGACCTTCAAGGTCAAGACCATATTTGTATCAAGGTCATATTAAGTTTGATATACATGAAGGTCCTGACCTGAAAGAACTTGTGTCTCAATATGAAGTTCATCCACTTATACACTTACAAAGCTACAGCCAATTACAGAAAAGAAGATAATTTCATTATTTTGACCTTGACAGTCAAGGTCAATTTAAGGTCAAGGTCACATCTAAATTATTCAATATTTTTGTTTCGTAGCAAGTCTCGTTTTGTAAAAGTTTAAAGCAAATTCGTACATAAACATCAAAATTATGGCTAGTTATTAAATGTTTCTGAGTTATTCAATAACAGTAATTTATATTCTGTCAGACAACCGACACCGTGGTCGAGGGGCTAGAGTCGATGACTTCTAGTCCAGTTACCTCTTTGGCGTGGGTTCGATCCCCGGGAGATGCTTTGGTAGTTTAGCACGGAGGAAGGTAGTCTGGTACTAATGTAACTCTCCAGGAACGATGGTTAGGAAACAACCCGCCTATATGACTGAATTACTGTTGGGAAAAGACGTAAAATGAAACAAACAAATAAACAAACAAATATTCAGTCAGTAACAGGCAATTTTTTTCATAAGTCTTGTGGTCCAGCTTATCATTTCAATGTCTGGTTCAGAGAATATCATACCCTAGCAAGATCTGCTAAAGCCTCGCACTGGTCCTCTCTGATAAATCCATCAGCCAGAAATCGGTCCTGCCCATTCAGTTGTTTAGAATCTTGCAGCAACTTAACCCCGATCTTCTCAAACCCCTTTACATTCTCACTACGATTTACAGACCCTTCTACCGTGCTTGAATCAGCCACATCATTCTGGAAACAAATAATCTCAAGATAATATCTATAATAATTCATATGAAATGCATTTTCTTTCCCATGGATTTACAGTTTTTATTTTTGAATCCCAATTATCTGCTACATGTAATTGAATGTTATTCTTAATTTTCAAATGGGAAAAGACTTCAGGTTTCACAAACCAAACAGCACTTAAGCAAACTGAGCAAAGTCTGAGATGTAGGGATGACATTACAAAAGCCCCAAGGACCAGCTCAATTTCTGTGGTACATGAGCCTTTTTATGACAGTATCCTGAGATCCCTAATCTAAAAATGTTCCGCACATTTGTCATATATATAGTTTGTTTAATATGTAACATAATTAACATATGAATGTAATATTTTTAAGTCAAAGCATTAGTTTATTATTCAACAGGTCCAATAATAAAGAAAGAAATGTTGAACTTACAGAATTACTCCCTGATTCTTCTATATTTTCCTCCGCAATCTGATCACTGGGTAACGTGTATTTTTCTCGTATATAACTTATACTTTCATCAATCTGCCTCCATAGCTCAACATATTTAGCCGCAGCCTTTATATGGAAAAACATCAAAGTACATGTATATTATAGACCATTTCATAATATATAATTCATAATCCTTTCAAATACACTCATTTTCCATCACATCAGTTTTTATTACAGCAGCTAAGCTGAACATGAATATAGTTCTTTTTCCATCCTTAGCTTAGGTCTATGTTTAAGACAACATAAATGCACTAATTTTCAATGTTTTATGTGAAATCCAATAATTTAACCTTCAAGGTCATAAATGAGCCAAGGTCAATTTGAGAACATGGGTGAACTTCCATTTCAATACCTCTCGGAAGGTTGGTGGTTTTTTTCACTTAAGATAATGCATAAAGAGCACCCGAGGTCTTCCTTCACAAGGAAAGGTGGAGACTTGTTATATGACCTTTACTGTGTCAGTGTAACTTAAAATCCAACAAAACAAACAAGCAAGCATCCAATACCTAATTCTTTATACAGAAAAACTCCAATGCTCTCTATACAAAAACTCAAATGCACTTCCTTTCCAAATAATATCACTATATTTAATTAAACATTACATGAATGCAGGTCTTTAACACCAATCCTTAAAGAGACTCCAATGATTTGATCTTTTTTTGGACATGTCTGGACTGGAAATTAATTTTTGAGATTTTTTATACAGGGAAGTCAAAGACCGGGTCTGCGTAGCGGGCCCTGGCTTTGAATTTCCCGGCTATAGACTACACATGTATATTTAAAAGGAAATCAAATAAAAACAATTAAAAATTATTTTTTTCTAAACCTATCAGTGACGTTTTCAGTGTCATATCAAGTTGCGCGCTGCCATTTGAATGTAACATAATGATTAAAGGCGGGGATTTCCAATAACGGAACAATTGAAACTTTTCAGACTAATAATATTCTGCAAGGTGTTCCAAATGAAAATGGAAGCGGTACATGAAATAACGGATTTAACCTATAAAACGGAAAATGTAAAATAAAAAATAAACTATTATTTTAACCGACTTTCCCAATTTATATAGGTTTTGCCTAATTTCATATACTATTTGATTTGGGTCTATAAACAATAATGTAAGATCAAAATTGCAGATCATTTGCTCATTCTATTTAGTCCAGAATAATAATATTGTATGATTTCATAAATTTTTAGGGCAAAATAAGCTAAATATTGAACTTGTTTAAATGCCTTAAATTGCTTTTTCTTACCAAATTTTGTCCATTTTTTTGACAATGTGTAAATTATTTTGATAAAATTTTACATTTTAATACATTTAAAAAAAAATATTTCATGAAAATTAACATGAATCTGGATGCATGCCACTTTAAAACATCTATACTTGGTAAATTAAAGTATGAAATACCGCTGATGGTACAAATTCTGTTTCTTTATGACGTAAAGTTCTGATGTAATAGTCTTTATTAGCTAGCATCTCATCATCAAAGGGCCTGAATAGAAGATAATTGGCTATTGATTCAAAGGCTTTTTCCAAGTTGTTCGCTGAAATAGAATAACAGAAATTAAGAACATTAATTTCAGGCCATTTATTTTCCTTTAGCTGAACAAGAAACTCAAAGAATGGTTTCTGTAAAGTCTAATCAAAGTCTGTGCAGTGGTTCTGAAGATAACTCCTTTAAATCTTTATATTTCTATTTCAGCATCTTGTTTAGCAGACAGGAACAATTTACATGTAAGCAAGAATAATACACAGTCATTAAAGGGAGACCACTGAGATTTTTGGACATGAAGGGACGGGATTTTGTTTCCAGATTAGTGTCCCATTTGATGTAAATGCAAATGGTCCATTTGCTGTAAATACAATCAATAACCTGTGTGCAAAATTTCAGATCATTTACTTATTTCCATTTTTCCGGAATAATCATTCTAATTGTGTAAAACAATGCAAATTTGAAAAGCGTTGCAACGTTTATAACTCAAATCGGGCTAAGAATAGCACAAAAATTTGATTTGCAATTTATATTTGAGTATATTTCTTATTTCACCTTTTGCATATCTTCATGGAAACCATCCAAAATTGGTCTATGTTACAATTTGAAATTTTATGCTTTTTAACTGTTTGGACCTCAGTGAAGTTCAATTCACAGATTATTCCTATTAGGATTCATAATGAGCTGTCCATAAGACAGCGTGCACTTTGACAGCAAGTAAAGGGGCAGTCTGTATAACAGTAATTTAGAGGTATGGGACTTGTGCCCATCATGCTGGATAATCATAGAGAACAAGTGTGTGAAGATGCAACCCATTCCCTACATTAGTTATTGGGATACCAACTTGTACCAAAGTGGGATGCCGACACCACTTGTGTACAATAGCTCTCCCTATTCTTAGTAATTAATTAATTAATAGTCAAGCAAAACATCTGCCCTGCAATTAAAGAGAAGATGCCATTCAAAGGTAAGATAAAAACACACATTAACAACAGCATTTTGACAACAGAAAACACAAGATTGTCAGAGTTTGAAATTTGATTCTCATACACTCCATTCATTTTAAGAAAGAATAATATGGAATATTTGGAAGATCAATAGGGCTTCCATTTATTTACAAAATTTGGAAGAAAGGGACTGAAAATGTTTGATAATTGGAAGTCACACTATATAGGTAAAGAAGGAAAAGCATTATATTCTGGAAGACACAAGCCAAACTGACTCCCAAACTTCCATGGAAGCCCTGAGATCAAGCTGTGATATTAATTTAGTCAATTGACTCTTTGAGATCCATCTAAAATCCCTGATATTAATTTGACAAAATTAAGATAGTACAAATTTACCTTCATAGTATGCATATTGAAGATAATTATAATGTTCCTGAACAAAATTCTCTAGCTCTTCCATTCCAAATGTACTTAGCTTCTTCAGGCATTTTTGCTGACACACCAAGACTGCTACATAATGATCTGCAATTACATAAAAAATCAAAATAAACTTAATAGTGGAGACCAGTCTAAAATCATAGCATTTCATTGGCTAATTTCAAATTTTAAATTTTCAAACTGACCAATTGGAAAATTCTGAGACTGGTTCTAATTCAATGCCTTAGCAACCTGATAATTATGCATATTGTAAAGAACCATAACCAGTCAGACTCAGAGACACAACATATACCATTTGAATTGGGGATTTTTTTATATGTTTTGCTAAAAATTAGGGGAAAAGCCCTGAAACCTAAGACACCATAAATTATCACTTTTTTTCAATTTAAATGAATAAATCAATGAGTCATGTATGTATATTGCTAACACTAAAAGGCTTTTACCACTGGTTAAAGTTGTAATTCAGTTTTCAAGAATAAAAGATTAGTATCAATTTCATTTTGAAATTTTATTTGAGAATCTTTTCTGAAAAAAGAAACACCATTCATGACTATATAATTGTCAGATATAAGACACCCTATACTATATGGTATCATTATATACAGTTCACTCAAACAACTCCATTCATACAAACTCACCATCCTGTCCCGGCAAGATTAATAGCTACAAAATATCTATATTTTTCTACCTTTGTTCTATGCTTGCATCCCCAGTTAATAAAAACTTATTATACATGATACCATTTCTCAAAAATTAGCTCCATCTACAAACTCTCAAACAAATTATCATGGGCACTAGGAGTTTGAGTAAACAAAATTTGACTGTACATGAATAGTTGTAGCAGTAAAAATTTGAACCTCCAATAGCATTGAAAAAATCCGGCAGTCTGTTATGACGGAATCCCTTTTCACAACCTGCACGGCATTTCTCCTCTTCTATGAAATACAACCTAAGTGATTCCTCAAATGTTGCTGCAGCCTCGTCCCAATTACCCTGGTTATAAGCATTTAGAGCCTTAACATATTGTTTCTGAAATACAAATAAAAAAATTTCCTACATCTGCTACTGCTCAAACCTAAATTACTTAACAGGGTTTCTTTACCTTTCATAGCGCGGGCCATTCATATATGCCATACTTCAGTAAAATTCTTCAAAATCATGCAGTTTTACATTATGTACAATTCAATTAATATCAAATCTATTCTTCCTGTTTTCTGCAAAATTAACAGTGTTATTTTTCTCCAAATTTAGAGGCCTCTATCTTATGCAAATAAACCATGCTTATGGAGTTGTCTCGGTACAGACTACAGTTTCATTTTTACATGACATTATACACATAAATAAGAATAAGTTTTACAACAAAAAATGAGATAAGAAATGTGAAAAATTTACTTGATATTCTTTTCTTTCTAAATCAACAAAATCTGTTTCCTTTAGCTCTGGTAAAGTTCTGTAATATTGTAGATTTTCTAGTATACGGGTATCATCTTGATGTGTTATGAAATATGTATATGCTGCCGCCGCTGCTTCTGTTAGCTTTTTTCCCTAAATTCAAGAAGAATAAAATTAGCTTATTACATAATATAACATTTATTAAAATGTAATTTTAAAGAATCTCCACTGTCATCTAGCCTAAAAACATAAAATTTGATTTTTTTAAAATAGATCAACTGGGGCACTAGAACAGAAATATGTGGGAGATAATTAAGAAATTTACTTGAATAAATTCAAAATGTATATCATATTTTAGAGCCCTTTTTATCCTGTTTTCAATGAAAAGCATTGCGATGGAATGATCTGAAATTTTGCACACAAGTTATTAGTCTAGACCAGTATGTCTAAATACCAAATATGAATTCATTTTTCGCGAATATGAACGGGAGTACCGAATATGAATATTATTTTCATAAAATCAGCTCTTCTGGGATTTTCCAAATAGAAAGAGGATATAGAATATGAATATTCAATAGATATAAATGAACTTTGTCTGAAATAGTGTTGTAAACAAAGACAATTATTATTTACCTGCAGCATGTCATTGAATGAAATTAAATGAATTTATTGCATAGGTTGCAAATTATCCTGACCAAAAAAGGCAAAAATATACCAGAATGTGAGAATACCAAATACGAAGGTTATATAATTATGTTAAATTTAATTATCGTGTAAATATTTGACTGTGACATAATTATGAATACTCTATACTAATAAACTTATCAAAGATTCAATCTGTAACCACCATAACAAACCTTAAAATAACAAAACTGCATGAAATTATATGGAGTCCTCTCTTCAAACTTCTTGTCATACACCATTTCAATTTCCTCCTCCGCACGATCACCTAGTTTCTTCTTCTTACATCTTCTTAAACAATTAGATCTTTCAAGAATATCATGAAAAATTAATTGATGGGAAATCTCTTTAAATTCTGGTTGACCTTTTTTACAATTTAGTCGACAATCTATCACAGTATCCTTGAAGAAATGAAAATCGTCAATGGCTCTTTGGAAGAATTCAGCACATTTTGGCCATTTTTCCTGCCTATATGCGTCCATACCCAGATCATAATACTGTGCATAATTTGTCAAACGGTCATGCATTAGACTTTCAACAAGTGTAATCAAAAATGGTACATAAGCGGCTAAAGAGGTCCTCATTCTTCTTTTTCTTTTGTTTTCCTACTTTATCTTGGACTTTCTATCAAAAAGTTGAAGAAAAAAATTTAAACGGCTTCGCTGAAAAGCGAAAACTTACAACAGAGTAATAATAATCTAAAATTTAATGTTTTAAACAAAGTACAATCATTAATATAAGCTTTGGGTATATCAACATCACAATTCCGATTGCAGCATCCCACGTACAAAACTTTCTGCAACTTTTCAAACGACTTCCGGTGAAATGGGATACTTTGGTTGAATACCAATAAATATTTCAGGCTGAACGACACTAAACTATTTCCTTCCGTATCTTGAACACGCAAAGAATAGTGTGAGCCAGAGAAAAGTAATTAATAGTATCCTGGTTCTACTATCTACCGAGAATGTAATTATTCGTTGGCCTGTATAATACAGAAACAAATCTAGGATAATATACTGTAGAATGGCAATCCGGTCAACTCGTCCTCTAGTCAACTCGTCCTCTGGTCAACTCGTCACCTTTTTGGTCAACTCGTCCCCTACTTTTGGTCAACTCGTCCTCAAAGAGTCAACTCGTCCCTAATATGGTCAACTCGTCCCCTACGTTCGATCTATTCGTCACTATTATGTAGGTCCAACTCTTTGATTTTTACCTCCTCCCTGAATGGATTAAAGACTGACGACAGATTAACAGAAATTGGAAGTGCTAAAAACTTTATGTCGGTGCGTATTGATCTCATTATAGAAGGATCGTGTCAATTAAAACATGATAATTGTTTGTTGTGAAATTGTCAATTAATTGTTTCTGATTTTTTAAAATTGCATTTCATTGTAATATTATAGTCCATTATCAGAGGAGTTGTATAAACATACATGCCTTTTGAAAGAGTTAGTATTTATTTATTTTTTCATTATTTTTTTTAAATAAAAAATCCGTACAATAATATTTGCCTTGGATATTAACTAATTGAAAACATAAAGTAATTACTAAGTATTCAATTGCCATCTAATAATTAGTAAAGATTAATATTAAATTTCCATAAATAAATCTTTAAATTGATCTCAAAGAGGAGCTGTATAAAACCGAGTTCCAGAATTTCTTGTATAATACAAGTCAACATATTGAATGTGTTAATTGTATTTAATTCAACATTTTCATATATTTGACCATACACCATCAAAAACAAAATTCGACATTTGGAAAATAAAATTTTATAACAACCTTTGGCACGATTTTCACGCGATTTGTATAATTTCAAATTAAAGACACACGTTCTTTAAATATATAAATACGTATCCAACCACAGAGGCAAATGTGTCTTTAATCCTATTTTCAAATTACTATGTGTTTACTTTAATAACCAAAGGCATGTGTCATGATACATTTAATTAACAACACATAAAAACTCCAAATATTCGCATACAAAAAGCGTCAAAATATGTCCAATTTAGTAATTTTATAATTTATTATTTTAACAGTCTATAATAATTTATGAAAAATATGAAAAACAAATAATAATAAAATATAGGGGACGAGTTGGGGACGAGTTGACCAGGGGACGAGTTGTCCAAGGGACGAGTTGACCAAAAAGGTGACGAGTTGACCAGAGGACGAGTTGACCAGAGGACGAGTTGACTCTGAATCGTAGAATGTAGAAGCTACCTTTTTTTGGATAAAAATACCAATTATCCAAAAGAAGTTTTAATTACATATTGTATACATCGAAAAGATAGTCCTGTAAATAATCTCATATAAGTGGCAATGATCTTCGTTTTTAAATACTTAATACCAGGAATGACTTTTAAACAATCAATCAAAAGTTAAAAACATATATAAATGGTCCATTTCTGCTAATGATACTAAAGTTCTATTCAATATTTATCAATTATCACACAGTAAAATGGTAAAAAATTGAAATGCATTTGCACACACATTCAAAATATTATGTTTGGTGGTCCAACTCGTTAGCAATACTACTGGTTTTATGCATAAAATTATTCATGTGAATAGGGTTATTAAAACTTTGAATTTTCTTTAAAAAGTACCCTATTTTGTATGAAATTATAGTGAAAAACACTTGCATACAAAATGATTTTTTATGTAAGTATTATATTTAACATCTGAACATTCCTGATACAAAGTACCTCCCGGTATTATTAGTACCTTAAGGATACATGTACAAAAGTACCTTTAGGGTACAAGTATTAGCCAATCGCAACTTTTCGGACTTTACGTAAGATTTCGGATAAGGACTTTCAGTTGGAACGTCCTCGACTATTAATTACTATAATGATCTGGAGTTAATACGGATTGAAAGTTGTTTCAGATGTAAACAGAAACTTCTTTAATAATGTAAAACGAATGTATTCATTTGACATCTAAAGAAAATAAAGTCTGTCTCGTGAAAATATATATGTTTGACAATCATTTTTAATTTTAATATGCCCACTAGCTCATGTACAATTTTAAACAAATTCTATTTAATGTCAACAGTTTGACATTTTGTACTTTCGGTTTCTACAACCATAATGATAAATATATAAAAGTGATGTATTCTTTGCTTTTGTATCTATGAATTCACTTTATTTAGGTGGACTTTTACTTGATATATTGGAAAAAAATGTCAACAACTCCCATTATTGAAGTTCTGTTTGTTTACATGTTTAGTTTCTTAGCGTAGGTTGGACCGAAATACCGCATCCCTTCTGTGTATTCATACTATTGTGTTTGATGTCTTATCCGAAGACTTACAGAAAGGGCCGACAAATTGCGAATGAAGGACCTTGAACACAATAGTGTGGTTCAAATTTTACAGCTAGAAATAAAAGGTCAGGAAAGTAGGTCACTAGGTCAAAATCTAGACCATCTTATAACAACATCAAACGTTCAATTCAACATCTGAAGCTGAATATGATCAAATTTTTAAAGCTTTATACCAAATAACAAAAGGCAGGTCACTGCATGTGTGCCGCTTGGGCAGGGTCAATTTTGACCACAAGATCTTGTTATAAGTTATGTCAAATATCTTTAGAAGCTCTAGCTTTTTCGGTTTCAGAAAATATACTTTTTATGTATATAAAGAATACTCATGACCCCCAGGATGAGGCTTGTTTTTATTTTGACCAAAGAAACATAATTTGAACACTCTTTGTAGAGGTCCACAATGTTTCAAGCTCTAGCTTTTGAAGCCTCAGAGGATAATTTTCATATAAGATTTTACTATATGTACATAACGAAAACCTATGACCACGGGGTAGGACCATTTCGGACCCCGGGGCTATAATTTGAACAAAGTTTGAAATGATCCGATACACAATGTTTCATGCCAAATATCTACAAATATCTATGGACATTTCATATTTCAACGTCTACACCGTGTATATCCAGTAACGCCAGAATGTGAAAAATAACCCACGATTCGTGCAATAAGTAACGCAGAAATATGCAATAAATGACGGATACCTGACAGGATTTCCAACGGGGTAAGTAAACTGGTAAATATATTTTTATTTAATCGAACTGAAAAAAATGAATAGCTGCATACGGCTGCAAAGACATTTCGCTTTATCCCTAATCAAGATCATTTCCACGAAATTGTTTACTTTTACCTGTGTAATAAATAATTCTGTACCATATAAGAAAAAAATCACATTTTCCGGCGTTACCGCGAAGCACAATTCACGTACATCGGCGTTACCTCATAAAAACGGCTTGAATCACATTTTATCAGTTTATTTTCAATGTTCTATATCACAAGAAGTTAGGTTTATGTCACTTCCCTACCGAAAATTGAAAATATCCGGTATAATATGCATTATTGTACTTGTAAGAGCCGACAAAAAAGCCGAAATCTCGCTCCTCATTTTTACGAATGATCTTGAAAAGTAAACAATTTCGTGAAAATAATCTTGATGAGTGATAAAGAATTATGCCTTCGCAGCCGTATGCGGCTATTGATTTTTTTCAGTTCAGTTAAATAAAAAATATATTGGCCAGTTTTCTTACCGCGTTGGAAATCCTGTCAGGTATCCGCCATTTAATGTACAATTCTGCGTAACTTATTGCACGAATCGGACGTTATTTTCACTATTTCGGCGTTACTGGACATACACGGTCATATCAGTTTATAAGTATTCGCATTGACATAAATCTCAGCCAAGCTGTACGGTATACCGTTAGGGACATCGAGGTTAAACTTTATAATCCAGATGGCGACAATACGATAGTGCAATGACGACAGTATGATAACGCGTTGACAACTGTCAACGCACTGTCGTCATCGCACTATCGCATTGTCGCAATTGCGCCGTCGTATTATCGCCATCGCACTATCGCACTGCCGCCCTATGGATTATAAAGTATAACCATGATGGCCCTAACGGTATTCCGTAAAGCTGCGGCCGTTAACTGATGTAATCCGGAATGGAACTGTTACAACACGAAACATGCCAAATACGTTTACAAGTATCAGATTGACTTGACCTGTCTTATCATGTTACATGCCTTAATTAAATTGATACGCGATACAATTGTAACTAATTTAGCTTGAGTAAAATCAACCAGAATACAGGAATGAAGTACACGCTAGTTTTTCTTTTCCTTTTTGTTGGTAAGTAACATATACTTTATCGACTGCATGCATTTTTTTAAATATAATGTAACCGCACATAGATATATACATGCATTAATTATTCTACATGGAATACGCGAGTAAAAAATCTCGCAGATAACAATTAAGGACGATAAATTACGAGATTGTCTTTGTTTGCTTCTACCTCCTACTTGAAAGAATATAATTATGAGCCGTGTCACGACAAAACCAACATAATGGGTTTGCGACCAGCATGGATCCAGACCAGCCTGCGCGGATGCGCAGTCTGATCAGGATCCACGCTGTTCGCTATCAGTTTCTCTACTTGTAATAGAGTGGGTTTAGCGCGGATACGCAGGCTGGTCTGGATCCATGCTGGTCGCAAACGCACTATGATGGTTTTGTCGTGACGCGGTTCATATCTTATTTATAATACGGAAGCTGTTGTCTCGTTGTTAACTCAGCATAAAGCTGTTATGGTTTGAGGCTGTAATACATTTTTGAGTACAATACTGAATTTTATTTGACGACTACTCAGCTGTTAAATATATATTGGACAAGCGCTAGCCGAGTCTGTTATAGGTTTTGCAGCTTTGTGTCAGTCCAATAGAATCAGTATTGTTATCAACAATGAATCATGGCATCTTTCTTTCACATCTTTATTTATTTTGACAGATTTTTGTTATATATCAAGTACAATATATGGTTTCGAGATAAATTTTTGTAAACGAAGCTTGATGGGGTACATGTACAATATGATTTGATGTGGATTTTTGGACTTGGGGAATTGAAAATGGAATTGGAAACAAGACAAAATTGATAAGATTAGATTCAATAATTATTTCTGTTGGAACATCATGCTAACCAAACTCTAAAAGTCCATGGTTATATTTCATATTAAAAGGCGTGAACTAAATTGTTTTATGACAGAATAATACCTTATCAATGGGGATATTGTATCTTATTAGACATATTGTATCAAATTATGTCCAAGGCCGGATACAATCAGTATTAAGCAAAAAAAAGCAAAAAAAAAAATAAATAATAATAAAAATAAATAAATAAAAAAAAAAAAACAAAAAAAACCGTTTTTTTTTTGTGAGATATATGTAATCAAAGATCCTGACTTTAAATAGTGAAACAAAATCAGCAGTGTTAAAGTAACCAACTTTTGATGAACATATTTATTAGGTCGGAATGAGAATCTAGCACTGAACTGTCAGTTAAACAGTTTTCATAGCCTTCCAGAAATGTAATTAATATTAAAAAACAACAAAACAAAAAAACAAAAAAACAGCAACGTTATAAATGACTTATTTGCTACACGCAACATGGTCATTTCTATAAAATAAGGACATTCTTATTTTTATGGAATAGCGCTTAATTGTTGATAAACAATTTCCAAAATATCTGTACGAAAGAAGTACGTTTGTATCACCCCTTAACAGCCGCTAACAGCACTTTCGGTGCTTTGATTGTTCTTGGTAGCAATGACAAAGATCTTTGCCAATGGAAATACAATGCATATGTAGCAAGACTGTTTGAGAGATAAATGAGTTATGAAAAAAACAATTATCTAAAAAAAACATTCCATTGTTCAGATAAACATATCTGATTTTTTTTTTCATTTTTAAATTTTAGCGCTTGCAGCAGCCGAATATTGTCGGAACGACGGAACAAGCTGTGCTGAGGAAGTTTGCAGTGGCAATGATGTTCCATCATGCGTTAACCATGTGTGTACATGTGCCCCTAGACCGGCAAATTCAGGTGAACCATTTTTTTTTTCATTTTGAGTTAGACTAAAATGATTGGAGCACCACACTAAATACAGTATTCCGGTATATACCGGACCAGGCGATTGAATGATTAAATGCTTAAGTCTTGCAATGAACTTTAAAAGGTCTTATTCATCTTTTCACACTGATTTATGTATGATAATGAATGAAAAATGTAAGAATCAGCGGAAATAAAAAACAACTATATTTGTCTTTTTATTGATCATGATTTCTGCAAGCGTCTAGAGGTACTGCTGCAATCCTGTATTGAGTTAAATCTATTAGTTTTTCCCTCACAAAAACCAGCTTGTTGCGCCACTTCATCCACTAATAGTTTGGATATTTTTTGACATGCTCCGTCTTTTCGACATCTTATATAATATGCATGATAACATATATATTTAAATGAGGTATTTACATTTTAACAATCACACAAATGTCTCTAAAAATGTATGTGACACTAAAATGTATATGATTACAATATTAAACAATTTTCCACACAGCTCACAATAAAATCTTCATTAATTTTCAATGAATTTGATATTATACACATTGTGCAAATTTTAATCATACTTAATTTCAGTCCTAGGAAACAAATTGAAAATTTACCTTTTGAAGATAAAAAAATATGATAATTAAATCACTGCAATGAGGTCAAAAACCCTAAATTTAACATAAAATTTGAATTTTCTATATCATAAAGAATACATGTTTACCAAAAATTAAAGTGCATATCGAATTTTAGCCGAATCTGAGTGAAAAGCGTTGTAACTTTTTGGGTCACTTTGCACAACAGAAATTATTATTCTCAAAAATGGGACACATGTTAATGGCCCAGACCAACATCAAATGGTACACAAATCTTGGGGAAAAAAATCCAGTCCCGTCATGTAAAAAATCCTCAGTCCCTTTAAAACGCTGAACTTTAGGTATGCATTGGACAATAATAGTAACATGCAGTATCTTCTGTTTAAATTTCAACAAAAAAATGGTTAAAAAATGAAACTGTAGATTTTCTTAATAATTGAAACCTGCCATCTAAAACTAAATTCTAATAAACACAGTGTTGATTAAGGGAGAACACAATTTTCAAATATTAAAAGTTTTGAAACTTTATGTTATGTTATGTTATGTTATAGTATGGTAAAAAAAACACTTATTTGACCATTTCCCTATGCAAAAAGCCTTATTCAAAATATTCCTAAAGTTACCAAAATGAGGGGCTGTTTTCAAATTTTGCCTAAATTTTCTTAAATGTATATTGGCAGGTCTTGCAAAATACAAAATACTTTAACCGTGTAGTTTATATTTTATTAAACTTTGAGAATAACTGGTATCATATTTGCCATTAAATTTGGCATTTTTAGCAAATAAATATCTACAATAATTATAAAATTAAAATCAAACAAACTCTTTTTCCTGCTATAAGGGATCTGACAGATACATAAATAAGTTAAAAAGAAAGAAAATAAAGAAAAAAGTTGCCCCTTCTGGGCTTTGAACCCACGCCATACACTTGTCACGACTCGGCCCGGTGAATTTTCGTACTTTTTGTTCTATAGTAAATCAGTCAAATTTGAGACTTAAATTAATTCTGGATTCCACTGTTCTTGATGAATTATATACTGTCCCAACTTTAAACATTAACACTATCGAAGTCCAATGAGGCCCACAATATAATAGGTTAGCCATCTAATATTTTCAGAAATCTTCATTCTGTTGTAACACTGTTTAAATTCACCACTTTAAAACTCCTGACATCTTTAATCCTTCCACCAACAAATGAGTTCCTGGAGAATACACAAAAAAAAAACAACTTTGAAAGTCATCATATAACACACAAAAACTACACACATGCAATAAATACACTTTAATTATGACCAATCTAACTAGAGATGACTTAAATTGGGCCATTTCAAAATTTTAAAGAACTACTTTCTGATTTAAACATATTTTATTGCTCTTTTTTTTTTTTTACACATTTATAACATTATATTATCATAGTATAAATACAAAAGTAGCAAAAGGGTTGAACCACGAGTTCTTACAACATCAGCAAACGGTTCTTCCCTGATATATTGAATTATCTAATAATAATAAGACAGTTACAAACCAAAATGTATGATAGTAGAGCAATTAGGGAAAAATGCACAAGGAGAAAGAAGAAGAAAAGCATTACAAAAAAGGAAAAAAAAAAAAGGGGGGGATAGAGTTCAGTAAGTAGGGATATCAATTGAACGTGGCAAGTAGTACAGATAATATAAAAAATTAAGATTCAAATCTACACGATAATTTAATAAATAATTGTACCTTATCAAAAATAAATAAGTTATTCTCATCAGAAAGAGATTCTTTTCCAAACAAAAGGGTCTTTACGCTCAAAGGATGGAAACTGCGAGTTGAGCGGAATAACTGCACTCTTATTTCGTTATATTTGGGACATTTAAAAAAGTAATGTTCGGCATCTTCAATACTGGATGTACAGTAGCTACAAAGTGAGTTATCTCGTAGATGATTTTTACAAAGATCCGCATTAAGATTACTACATTCGTTTCTAATACGTGCATGGTAAACAGATAAACTTCGATCTCCGTATACAAAATATTTAGGAACAGTATGTGGTTTATAAATTTCTTTGAGACGAGATTTAAAAATATTAAGAGAAGCCGCATGTCTAATATGATCATCCAAATTGTTCCATAACTCTATGGATGAAGGAATGAAAGATTTTGCGAATATTTGTGTTCTCCGTGCGATTGTCACATAGTTGTTATCATTTCGGAGGAAGTATGGAGTAAAATTAGCGACACTATTTGGGAAAAGATTTAGTAAGTAGCTTGGAACATTGTTTTGATGGCTTTGTAAAACATTATTAATTTTTGCATAATTCTTCTATCCGACAAAGATACCCAGCCAATTTCTCTAAGTAAACGGTCTATAGATACCGATCTAGTTAGGCCTGTGACAACACGCGCTGCTTCATATTGCATCTTTTCAAGAGAATGTTTATCATTTTCATTACAGCCATCCCAAACAGTGGAGGCATATTCGAGGATTGGTCGCATATATGATAAATAAATTTGATTTAATGTATTTCGTTTGAGTTTAAATTTCAATGATTGCATTGAGCTTAGAACTTTAGAAGCTGATGTCATAATATTATTAATGTGTTCGTGCCATTTTCCATCTTCACTCAATGTAAGTCCAAGATGTTTATGCGTTTTTACATAAGTAAGTTGGGTATTTTCAAAGAATAGAGAAGGGCGTTGTTCATCATTTAAGGAAAAAAAACATTACTTCTGTTTTATCTGGATTAAATTTAATTAACCACTTATGGGACCATTCTTGAAGAGTATGTAGATCGGTATTTAATGTGTTTTCTATAAAATTCATATTGCTAGAGGAAATCGACAACGAACTATCATCTGCAAAGAGGCGGGTTATGCTTAATAGATTATCCGCAATATCATTAACGTAGATTAGAAATAGCAACGGACCCAGGACTGATCCCTGGGGAACGCCCGCAGTAGTTATTTTCTCACTTGAGAAAGTTGAATTTACAAAAACTTTTTGGTGCCGATTTAAAAGATAGTTGCTCAACCAATTTAATATATCGCCATCAATACCGTATTGCTGCAATTTAAATATAAGCCCTTTGTGCCATACCCTATCGAATGCTTTCGAAATGTCACAAAATATCATACATGTAGATTGTTTTTTGTCAAAGGCTTGAGTAATTTGATGATAAATATCAATAAGTTGAAAAACGGTGGAATGACCCGGTAAAAACCCCAGACTGTTGGTGATATATAAGATTATTAACATGTAAATGATTATAAATGTGCTTAAAAACAATTCGCTCAAATACTTTACCTACACAAACTTATTAGAGAAAATGGGTCTATAATTCATAGGCATGTTTTTTACTGCCCTTTTTATATATTGGCATTACAACTGCTGATTTCCATGAATTAGGGTAAATATTTTCGACTAGAGATCTGTTAAATAAAATACCTAGTGGAGCACAGACAGAATATCTTGTTTCTTTTAGCATTTTATGACTAATTTCATCTGGTCCACTTGCTTTATTTGTAATTAACGTTATTAAGATATCACTTATTTCCTGATCGCTTATTTTGTAAACTAGAAAATTTAACATTACTTTTAGAAACAAAATCTGGTAGGGACGAATGGGTGTCGTCTACAGTTGAGACTGAAACAAAATAATCGTTAAGACAATTTGCTTTTTCTAGATCGGTGAAGAAGTAAGTTTTGCCAGGCGAATTTTCCATGTAAAGTGGGGGAATACTCTCACAACCTTTGTTTTCTTTAATTAACATTTTTACGGTTTTCCAATATTGCCTGGGATTATTACAATTAAGATCAGATATAGAAAGTTCTAAGTGATTATAAAACTTCTCCTTTGCATGTTTAATCATATTGCTCACTTTATTTCTATACCGTTTGTATATTAACCAGTCAGATTCTTTATTTGATCTAATTGCTTTACATTTCTGTCTATCCCGTTTACGACTCATATTTCTTATTACTGAATCATACCATGGTTTTATCCTTAGGCCTTATTGTGATGATATTTGTAGGTATACATTGTTGAGCTAAATTATGGAACCTTTTTGTAAACAAGTCACAGGCTTCGTCAATAGTATTTAAATTTAGAAAAGACCAATCAGTTGTGTTAATTAATTCATTAAACTTTACAAAATCCGCTCGTTTGGTAGTTCCATATACGTTCTCTTATAAGTATAGAGGGTAAATGGGAAGATTTTAATAAATACATACGTTCCAAAATGGTCACTTATTTCTTTTGGAGTGCAATGAATTCCTGACGTTAAAACAGTTAAATTATTTGAAATTACTATTGGATCTAATAGGGTTGATGTTCGAGCAGTAACACGTGTTGGATCAGTAATGATATTACGCATACCATTTAATAAATAAGATATTTCGAAGATTATAATTACTCGAATTTAG